GAACTGGGAAGAAATGAAGAATATAATATATATCATATTATGTTAATATAACATATATAATATTATATTTACATATTATATTAATATATTATAATATATTATAATATAATATCAGAATATAATATTCTGATATTATATTCTTCAGAATACAATATCTGAAGAAGGTACAAGCAGGCTGGATGAGGCAGAGGACTGAATCAGCGAGCTGGAAGAGAAGGCAGAAATAGCCATAGCTAGGTAGAGCAACAAAATGAATAAGGACCCAGAAAGTATGAGGATAGCTTAAAGGCACTTCAGGATAACATGAAATGTAACAACATTCACATCATATGAATAGCAGGAGGACAAGAAAAGGAGCAAGGGATAGAAAACCTGTTGGAAAAAATGACAACAGAAAACTTCCCTAACTTGGAGAGGGGAAAAGCCACGCAAGTTCTGGAAGCTCAGAGGGTCCTAAGCAACATGAACTCAAAGAGGCCCACTCCAAGACACAACAGAATTAAAATTCCAAATTTTAAAGACAGAGAGAATCTTAAAAGAAGCAAAACAGAAAGATAGTAACATACAAGGGAGCTCTGATAATGTTAGCAGCGGATTTCTCAACAGAAACACTACAAGCCAGTAGAGAATATTCCAGGCAAGAAATATTCCAAGTAATGAAAAGCAAAGGCCCACAACCAAGGCTACTCTATGCAGCAAGGCTCTTATTTAAAATGGAAGGTGAAATAAGAGCTTCCCAGATAAGAGAACGTTAAAAGAACACACCTCCACCAAACCAGCATTGCGAGACATGTTCAAGGGACTGCTTTAGGAAGATGAAGGTATATAGAGAAAGAAGAACACAAGTACAAAAGGATAAAATGGCAATGAATATGTACCTATCAATACTAACCTTAACTATAAATGGATTAAATGCTTCAATCAAAAGACATAGGGTAGCTGAATGGATAAGAAAACATGACCTGCACATATGCTGCCTACAAGACACACACCTTACCACAAAAGATCTACAGAGACTGAAGTAAAGGATTGGAAGAAAATATTCCAAGCAAATGAACAGGGAAAAAAAGCTGGGGCTGCAATACTTATATCAGACAAGAGAGATTTTAAAACAAATGCCATAGAAAGATACAAAGAAAGTCATTTCATAATTTTACAGCAAAGAATCCACCAAGAAGCTATAAACATTGTAAACATATATGCTCCCTACACAGGAGAATCCAAATATATAAGGAAAATCTTGGAGGACTTCAAGAAAGATATAGATAGCAACACACTTATAGTAGGGATTTTAACACCCCACTGGCAATAATGTATAGATCTTCCAAAGAATCAACAAGAACATTGTGGCACTGAACAACACACTAGATCACACGGGCTTAACTGATATATACAGAACCTTTCATCCTAAAAAGCAAAATATGCATTCTTTTCAAATGCATATGAAATATTTTCAAAGACAGACCACATGGTAGGACATAAAACAAGCCTCAACAAATTCAAGAAAACTGAAATCATATCAATCATCTTCTCAGATCACAATGGCTTGAAACTAGAAACCAACCTCAGGAAAAAACTCAGAAACATTCAAATACGTGGAAACTGAACAACATGTTATTGAATAATGAATGGGTTAACAATGAGATCAAAGAAGAAATAAAAAAGTCTCTGGTAACAAATGAAAACGAACACACCACAGCCCTAAACCTATGGGATACGCTGAAGACAGTCCTGAGAGGGAAGCTCATAGCAATAGGTCTACCTAAAAAAGACAGAAAAATGTAAACCAACCAACCTAACCCAATATCTACAAAAACTACAAAAACAAACAAGCCCAGAGTGAGTAGAAGGAAGGAAATAATCAAGATCAGAGCAGAATTAAATGACAGGCACTAAAAGAACAATCCAAGGGATAAATTAAAATAGGAGCCAGTTCTTTGAAAAGATAAGCAAAATTGAGAAGCCTTGAACCAGACTCATCAAGAAAAAAAGAGAGGATCCAAATAAATGAAATCAGAAACGAAAGAGGTGAAATTACAACCAATACCACAGAAATACCAAGTACTGTAAAAAAATTACTACAAACTATATGCCAAAAAATTTGAAAACCTAGGTGAAATGGAGAAATTCCTAGAAACACAAAATCCTCCAAAACTGAGTCAAGCAGCAGCAGAAAGCCCGAATCAACTGTTATCAGGTAGTGAAATTGAAGCAGTAATCAAAAATCTCCCAGCACACAAAAACCCTGGACTGGATGGATTCACAGCAGAATTTCACCAAACATTTAGAGAACAGTCACCCCAATTCTTCTGAAACTATTCTAAAAAATCCAAGAAGAGGGAAGACTCTCAAACTCTTTCTATGAGGCCAGTATTATCTTAATTTTAAAACCAGATAAAGACACAACAAAGAAAGAAAAGTACAGGCTAATATCACTGATGAACATAGATGCTAAAATACTTAAGAAAATATTGGCAATCCAGATCCAGCAATACATGAAAAAGATCGTACACCATGACCAAGTGGGATTCATCCCAGAGATGCAAGGATGGTACAATATATGCAAATCAGTAAGTATAATATTTCGTATAAACAATACCAAACACAAAAACCACATGATTAAAGCAAAAGATGCTGAAAAAGCACTTGATAAGGTACAACACCCATTTATGATAAAAACACTCAGCAAAGTGGGAATAGAGGGAGCATACTACAACATAATAAAGACCATATACAAGAAACCTACAGGCAACATCATACTCAAGAGGCAAAAACTAAAAGTTTTCTGTCTAAGCACAGACACAGGACAAGAGTGTCCACTTTCACCACTTCTATTCAACATAGTATTGGAAGTTCTAGCCACAGCAATCAGAAAAGAAAAAGAAATAAAAGGCATTGAAACTGGAGAAGAGGAAGTAAAACTGTCACTATTTGCAGATGACATGATGTGTACATAGAAAACCCTATAGATTCTACCAAACTACTCAACCTAATAAATGAATTTGCCAAAATAGGAGGACACAGTCAACATTCAGAAACTGCAGGCATTTTTGTACACCAACAATGAAATATTAGAAACATAAATTAGGAAAAACATCCCATTTACTATAGCAATAAAAAAAAATAAAATATTTAAGAATAAACTTAACCAAGGAGGTAAAAGACCTATACTCAGAAAACTATACAACACTGAAAAAAGAAATTAAGGAACACACAAATAAATGGAAGCATATACCGTATGCATAAATTGGAAGAATGGCATCATTAAAATGTTCATACTACCCAAAGCAATTTATAGATTCAATGCAATCCTTATTAAAATAACAATGACATATTTCACAGATATGAAACAAATTACTTCAAAAACTTTATGGAACCAGGAACAACCTTAAATAGCCTCAGCAATTTTGAGAAAGAACAAAATAGGAGGGATCACAATACCTGATATCAAAGTATATTACAAGGCTACTGTAATCAAAACAGTCTGGTACTGGCATTAAGAACAGACACATAGATCAATGGAACAGAACAGAGAGCCCAGAAGTAAACCCATGTCAATACGGTCAGTTAATATTTGACAAAAGGAGTTGGATCATAAAATGGAGTAAAAATAGCCTCTTAAATTGTGTTGGAAGACTGGGACAAGTACATGCAAAACAATGAAACTAGATCACCAACTTACACCATACACAAAAATAAACTCAAGAGAGATAAAAGACTTAAATATAAGTTGTGACACCATAAAAGTCCTATAGGAAAACATAGGCAGGAAATTTTCAGTCCCACATGGCAATATTTTCACCGATACACCCTCTATGGCAAGGGATATAAAGAAAAGAATAAACAAATGAGACTATGTGAAACTAAAAAGCTTCTGTACGGCTAAAGGAAACATCAACAAAATGGGAAGAAAACCAAATATATGGGAAACATATCTGCCAATGACACCTTGGACAAGGGTTTGATCTCCAAAATATATAAAGAACTCATATGACTCCACACCAGGAAGACAAGCAATCCAATTAAGAAATATGCAAAAGACCTGAATAGACATTTCTCCAAGACACACAAATGGCCCATAGACATATGAGGGGATACTTAACCTCTGCAGCCATCAAAGAGATGCAAATTAAAACCATAGTGGGATACCACTTCACACCGGTCAGAATGACCATCGTAAACAAATCAACAAACAACTTATGCTGGTGAGGTTGTGGAGAAAAGGGAACCTTAGTGCACTGTTGGAAGGAGTGCAGATGGTGCAGCTACTGTGGAAAACAGTATGGAATTTCCTCAAAAAACTAAAGATGGAACTGCCTTTAGATCCAGCTTCCACTACTGGGACTATACCCTAAGAATCCTGAAACACCAATTCAAAAGAACCTGTGCACACCTATGTTCATAGCAGCACAATTTACAATAGCTAAGTGCTAGGAACAACCTAAGTGCCCATCAGTAAATGAATGGATAAAAAAACTGTGGTACGTTTACACAATGGAATACTATGCAATAGAAGAAGAAACTCCTTTCACAACAGCATGGATAGAACTAGAGAGCATTATACTAAGTAAAATAAGCCAGACAGTGAAAGACAAATACCATGTAATCTCAACTATAAGTGGAACCTAATCAACAAAACAAACAAATGAGCAAACTAGAACCAGAGACTTAGAAATAAAGAACAAAATGACAGAGACCAGAGGGGAAGAGGTGGGGGGATATTGGGGGAAAGAAGGGGAAAGGACAAGCAAAGGAACATGCACAGAGGACTTATCAGCAGACAATGGGGGGTACTGACCATAGGAGTAGGTGGGGACTGGGTAGGGGTGAGCAATGGGGAAAAAGTCAGGACAACTGTAACTAAACAATAAAATAAAAATCAGAGGAGTTTTTTTTCTCATTTCTCAACTGAGGATGGCATTTTTAAGACACAAAAGCCAAAAAAAAAACAAACCCCAAAAAACAAAAAACAAGAAAAGCCTTTTAAAATCTTTATATATTAGAGTATAATACAAAAGATTTTAATTTTATGGGAACAGATATTAGGTCAGGAAACATGATAAATTGGGACGAGTACATGTGTCTCATACTAAGGGATCCTGCAGATTAACCTGAAAAAGAACAATCCAAATGAAATGTGCACAAAGGATATTCTCAGGTAAAAACACACAGCTCTTGAATACAAATATATTTGGCATAATTCACAAGAGAATGCAAATGACCACAAGGAAATCCTATTTTTCACCTGTCACAGCAGCAAAGGCCACAGCGCTGTGATGTTAGTGGAGGTGTGGGGAACAAAGACTTCCATGCAGGCTGGCACAGCCCCCGTGGGGGCAGTCTGCAAATACTGACACAAAATACTAATTTTAACCCAGAATTTTGCTTCTAGGAATTTACAAATATGTAACCAAGTTTTACACAGCCATTAACAGGAATGAGACCATGTTATATACAGTTACTCTTGACTATATACATTAAGTGAAAAAAGCAGAGGTCTGTTAGGTGTGTCAAAAATACATGGAAATATGCACAAAAACATTTTAGGAAACTCACAGAACATGGGTTGTGGTGACCACTGGAATGGAGAACACGGAGGAGTGGGAGTGAGTGTAGGAGGACGAAGCAGTCCAACCTATACGCTTGGATTCTTGAATTGAGTGCTGCCTCAGAGTCGTTTTCCTCATAATGCTATCACCGGAGGGGAAGGTCGGGGGAGGTCAGTTCAGGTTAGAGCACCCTTCCAGCTTTAAACATCAATAAATGCTAAGTCGGATGCTTTAATTTTAGGGCTAATTTAAAGATTTCTACAGCTTGTAAGACTATTTTTAAGATGCAAGATAGTCCTCTAAATGGCAATTTTAAATAATGAAGAAGTTTAAGATTTATCTCTTTAAAATTTCCCATATATAGCAATGAAGAACAGGCAATTAAAGACAGGCGACCTTTGTTCATAACAACCTGAGTCCCTGGGATACGTTTAGGAAATTTTTTCACAGATATAAGCCCTCAAATTTGGGAGAGAGGGGAAGCTGTTTTGGCCACTTTCGGGCTTACAGAGAACAGGTCAGTGTTTAAGCAGTTTTAGAGAATGTTCACATCCCAATTCTTCTCATAAATGTTTACGTCACAAGAGCAGCCCTGCTACACAGGGGCCTTATTATGTGTATTCTGTTGAAATATTGATAACAACGAAGCAATAACATGAATATATTTTGCAGACTTTTTAAAAAGAAACATTTACGCAAACAATGAAAGTGGAGACATTAAGGCTGAAAGTGAGCAGGCCAGCATTTACAAAGTGATTTTTCAGCAGTGTCCATATCTTATTTTCGAGAATGCTTATATTCTAAGAGCAGTACAATTAGCCTATTATGGAGGGTCTTAATCTTGTTTGTATAGTGTTGTTGAAATATTTTTTTCAGCTTTTGCCTTAACAAATCCAAAGATGGAAGGTGATGACAATCTGGTATATTCAACATTATGTGAAAAAATTCATTCCACATATCCAAATGAGGAAGCCTAAAGAAAGAAAACATAAAGGATAAAATGTAGCATTCAACATGCAGGCAACCCCACTCTTGCTTTGGACTCCCACAGGCTTGGACAGCCCAATACAATTTTAACCCACACACAACTCAGTGCATCAGGAATAGGAATGGTGGATCTACTTATAAACAAGAGATCTAATTAAATGTCTATACACACCCCTGTTCCCCAAAAGTGGTTTAAGCAGTCTTAGCAATTACAGTAGCTCTTCAGTGGCAAAACTTTCTCTTTTAAGTTTTTTTTAAAAAGGACGTTAATTTGCTTTTTGTTCCCTGCATTTCTGTACTGCCAGAATCTGATAATCTGGTCAGTGGCTCTGCCGGCCTCACTACAGAGGTTCCAGGACCAGGCAGATGGGCTGGACTGCCCAGAACAGAGCTCCGAAGCTAACTGCAAAAACTCCAGGACATGGACATGATGCACTGGGCGAAAGTTTGTGTTCCAGGCAGGAAGTCCAGCCCGTTATTATCAGGCCTGCTGAGGGTTAACTTAAAGTTTCTCTGGTCAGAGATGGAAGCCTTCTGAGCAACTCTCTGGTCCTTCCATTATGAGCAAGAGAAAGAGTAAAGTAGTTGCTAAATTGATGACTCATGTAGAATAAAGCATAGTTGTTATAAGTTTTCTTCTGGGGAACCTAACTTATGCTCCATTTTGTAGAATTACTGCTGACTGGTCTTTTTCTTGTCAGGTTATGTAAAACTCCATGAGGGCTGTGCACTTAAGATGAGTATATTTTTCAACGTATGTTTTTATACCACAAAAATATTTTTAAGAAAAAGTAAATATGATCTAATGTACATGTACCAAATGCTCAGCTTAAATATTACCAATAGTTCACACATTGAGAGGTATCCATATTGAAATGAAGAGTCCTAGTTTAGTCACTAATTTCCACAGATTTAATAGATGAGGAAAGTCTTTTCCTGTTAAATATTTTTTAATAGATGAGAAAACAGTCTTTTCCCTATTAAATATTTTAGTGTTTATGCTATTACAGTGGCCCAATTTTTTCCCCTTCCTCCCCTTGAGAAAACAGTATTAGAAACGCTATAGTCATACAGGGGTGGAACCTGAAAACCTTATCCTGTGATGGATGGCTGCTTCATCATATTTATAACTTACAAAGCACTTTCACATGTATTATTTCTCTTGCTTCTTATAATAAACACCTGGGATAAGCAAGATCATTATTATTTCTACTTACATAGGCAAGAAGACAAACAAGCAAAAACCGGAGGCTCAGTAACACCAGGCAATAGGTGTGTATAGGATGCCAACTACTTGGCCAAGAGCTTCCAATGCTTCAATGAGGGCACTGGCTGCTCCACTGTCACAGATGGGAACAGAGGAGTGAAGCTGTGGAGCTTGCTCACTGTTCCCAGTGCCCAGGACTATGCCATCTCACCACACATTCCAAGGCATGGGTTTTCCGTGCAGTGGCAGAGATCTATTTCCCCCACAGACGGAACTCAACATTCTACCACATTTACTCTCTTCTCACTGAAGCACCTAATGCTAATACCTACCGTCTGAAAAGACCTTCAGGCTTCCAGATTCCTCCTTCATTTTTCACTTTCATATAAGAGCCAAAAAGCATGCAGTACACTGTTGCAGCAACTCCAAAGTAATCAATCTACAAAGAAAATACAGCTCTATATGTCTGAAATACTAATTCTCGTATCACTATATTAAAACATCTAACTTACTAAGCAAAATACATAATCACAAGATGTTACTTTTAAAGAATTTGGACATCATCTGTTCAAGTATCCCACTGGTGTGCCCTACTGAATGACTGTCTAGGCTTTGCTGGAAGCTTCCATGAAACCGTTGCCCACGGCTCCCTGAGGTAGCCCCTTGGAAAGCTCTGTTCTCTTTGAGCTACTGTGTCCTTCCAAGTCCTTCATTGTTACCCACAGACAAAAGCAACACTTCCGCCCCCTCCCACAGGGACAGCTTAGAAGGCCTCCCCACTCCTTCTCCTGGCACCTGGCCTCTGCTTGCACGGTGCTCCAAAGCCTCTCGCTGTGGAACGTGCTTGGGACTGAACACAAGCATGGCCTAAACCCCGGGAAAGGAAACTAAAGCAGCTCAAACTAACTAGATGCCCAAATTCATTTTGAAAATATAGTAGTGTAATGAAGAAAAATGTTTCCAAATCTCTCATGTTACTTCTATACCTGGTAGTTCCATGGTTTGTTACTGAGCATCTCAGTACACTGAAAACCGGATGTTTCACACTTTGCTGTAAATGTAGTTCCTTTTGGAAAAAGTTTCATATCTATACTCTGACCCAAGTCAATTAGCGCCAAGCCAGCAGAAAAGTCATCACCTTCCCTGTCCTGTTCCAAAAATCTGTATTAAACACAAAGAAGGGACAGGCTGCATAAACACAGATAAAGTCTGCTGGGCAGATGGTAAAAGGAGAACCCTGTTAAAAATGCAACACTTGCCTGCTTCCAAGTATGAAGTTGTCTGGCTTAATGTCTCCATGGATGATCTCACAGTCATGAACTTGTTCAATCATGTAGAGCATCCTGATAGCAAAGGACAGCACTAGAGCTTGAGGCATCACTTTCTCAGGGGTGTTTTTATAGAGATTAATGGCATTCTAGAAACAATGGAAAGTGGAATGATGAGTTTGCTACATAGAATCAGTGAAATTTCAAGTCAAGAGCTTTGCCCCTGCCAACAACTCCAATAAAAATATTCATGTCCACATCATCAAAGCAAATACACTTACTAGTAATGTCCCATAGCTATAGAGATCTCCCACTAATACACTGCCGTCCTGGAAGAAGTGGGCAGAATAGAATTTGATGAACATGTGTTGCACACTGGGCTTTAGTCTCTCCATCAGCTGGGTCCCAACATAGAACTCCCATGGGTTGGCGGGCTTCTGGACCTGCAAACCAGGTATGTGACATTCAAATCCAGTCTCACATGGGGTGGGAAGACATGGGGTGGGAAGAACACGGGGTGGGAAGAACACGGGGTAGGAAGTGATGACAAGCTATATACTGTGTGTTGCAGTATGGGACCTGCTACAACATAATTCTAGTGGCAAGGCAATTCTGAGTCCTTGTAGGATAATTTCGGTTTTTAAGTGCTGGCTGTAGACCTAAATGAAACCACCACTATACTAAAATAGAGAAAAAAGAGGCTGGCTAACTCAAGTTCTAAAGTGCATTTCTATATTAAACAAAAAGCTGCTCAGATCACTTACCTTCAAAACAAATTTCTGTTTATTTTTGGTATCCTTCACATCTCCATGGGTAACTTCATAGACTTGGGCAAAAGCCCCTTCTCCAAGAAGGTGATCAATATAGACCAGCAAAGAACCTTAGGAGACAGGTATGTCAACATGAAAACAAAGGCTCAAAACATTAAAGATTTTACCAAAATGAAGTATCTATGAAATTGCCTTGGTGCTTGAATTACTTTAATAAGTAAACATAGATATAGCCCCTTCAGGAGATGCTTCTCTCATCTTGCACGACAGTTAAATACCTGCCACAAAATAGCCCCCTTCTTAAATGACGTAATGAAGGAGCAGGGGCAGCACTGCCAGGCCAGCCCTATCACTCAGTGGTTGGGGCCTGGGCAGCCACTCTCTCTTCACCAATGTGCTCACATTTAAAGGGGTTTTACCTGCGCTGTCTACTTGACAAGACCATTATGATGCTAGAAAGAACAAGCAAAATCCTCTGTAAAGTGCTAAACAAAGTTTTAAACATACCTTGGAAAAAATTTATGCTCTAGATTAGAATAAAAAGGACAAACTATAATTGTCCCAATATTTCTAATAGATAACTAATTTTATTGAAGTAAACCTTTTGTTTTAGAACAGTTTAGATGTACAGAAAAGTTGCACTGATAGCAGAGTGATAGTCTGCTCTGCATCCAGTTTCCCCTATTAGGTTTTACATAACTGAGGTACACTTGCCAGAAATAAAGATCCAACACTGGTAATGTTACTATTAACCAAGCTCCTTACTTTATTCAGATATCACCACTTCCCCCAAATGTTCCAGGATACAGGCATGAAGTCTCCTTAGCCTCTGCTAGGCTGTTTCTAAGTTCCTGTTTTTGATGACCATGACAGTTGCAAGGAGTACTGGTCAGGCTACAGAATCTTCAAACTGGATTTGTCCTGATATTTTTCAATAACACTAAGGTTACTGTTTGGGGGAGAAAGACTACAGAGGTGAAGATGTAATAAATTTTTAATTAATTTAAAAAATAATTCACATATACAAAAATCAAATATAAAAAAGCAAGCTTCTGGTTTCTTATCGGGCATATAAGGAGCTTGGAAGTTATCACTCCATCTTCACAATAAGAAAAAAGCTGAAGCCCCAGCTGGTGTGGCTCAGTGGACTGAGCGCCAGCTTGCGAATCAAAAAGTCATTGGTTCAATTCCCAGTCTAGGGCATATGACTAGGTTGCAGGCCAGGTCCCCAGTAGGGGGGTGCATGAGAGGCAACCACACATTGATGTTTCTCTCCCTTTCTTTTTCCCTCCCTTTGCCTCTCTCTAAAAATAAATAAATCTTAAAAAAAAGAAAAAAGCTGAAAAACTGAAAATCAACAATTCTTAGATCCACCAGAGAACCGAGGTCATGGGCTAACCGTTGTCCCCCAAACCGAGGAGTCAGGCAGGAGCAATCAAAGAATAAGAACGTGCCAGAGCAGAGGTCCAGGAGCCCCAACCCCAGTACAAGGTGAGTCATGACAGAAAGAAATGACATCTCGGGCCCATATTTAAGAACAAGTGTCTAGGGAAACCCAGACATAACAAGAGAGAAACAAGAACACAAAAGGAAATTTTATTTCTGATACCTGCAGTGACAACAAACAGTAAACATAGCCTAATCCCAAGACAGATAAACACAAACCTTACATAAAGGCCTATTTATCTTAGTTCCTTTGTACAGGGAACTGATCAGCATGGCAATGGCAAATGTAGCCGAGTATTGATCCGGAAAACGGATCAACGCTGGTATGACCTGGGCTGCGAGCGTGTGAGAGGCAACCACACATTGATGCTTTTCTCCCTATCTTTCTCCTTTCCCACCCTCTCAAAATAAATAAATAAAATGTTTTAAAAAAAAGAAAAGAAAAGAAAAGAAACTCAGACCAGAAAAGTGTAGGAAAAAAAATAAAATAAAATCTCTGATACATTTATATCAGTAAGTGTACCTTATGGATAAATGAAATGAGTGACAGGACAGAAAAGAAAACAAAGAATAAGGGTAAGAAATAGAAAAACAGTAACAAATACAGTAGATATTAATCCAACGACATCACCAATCACTTTAAATTATCAACAGACTAAACATACCAATGAAAACAGAGACTGTCAAAGCTGATAAAAACCCAAGATCCAACTACATGTTGTCTATGAGGAACACTTTAATATAAAGATAGATAAAGTGATGGAGAAAGTCATACCATGCTAAGTAACATTAATCAACAGAAAGCTAAAGTAGCTATGTTAACTTCAGACAGAGCACACTTCAGAGCAAGGAAAGTTATCGGGGGATAAAAAGAGGTATTAAATAAATGATGCACAAGTCAATTCTCTAAGAACACGTAACAGTCCTTAATGTGTATGGGCCTAACAACAGAGTATTAAAATAGTGAGACAAGGTGGGTGGCTCCTAGGTGGGTGGCTCCATTGGTTGGAGCATCATGCCGTACACCAAAAGGTTGAAGGTTCAATTCCCAGTCAAGGCACATGCCTAGGCTGCAGATTCTATCCCTGGTTGGGGCACACACAGGAGGCAACCAAGTGATGCTTCTCTCTCACATCAATGTTTCTGTCTCTCTTTCTCCCCCTTCCTTTCTCTCTAAAGTCAACAAATACCCCTGGGTGAGGATTTAAACAAACAGTGAGGCAAAATTGACAGAACTGCAAGAATAGATGAACTCACTGTTATAGTGAGAGCTTTTTCATCCCTTTGTCAGGCAGAAAATCAGTAAGGCCAAGGCTGAACTAAACAGTGCCACATATCAACTAATCTAATTGACATTTATACACTACTTCGCCCAACAGGTGAATACACATTCTTCTCAAGTTCACATGAAACATTCACCATGATCAACCACAGTTTAGGCCATGAAACACACCTTAACAAATTAAATAAATAAATAAATCACACAAAAAGTGCATTCAGGCTACAATGGAATTAAACTAGTAATCAATAGAAAGATAATGGGAAAGCCCCAAACACTTGGAGATGAAACAACGTGAGTCCAAGAAGAAATTTCAAGATGAACTGAAGAATATTTTTGAACTAAATAAAAATGAAAATAGTTTATTGAAACCGTTGGATGTGGCAAAAGCATGCTTAGAGGGAAATCTGTAACATTAAAATTCATGTTAGAAAAGAACAAAGATCTAAAATTAATAATCTTAGTTCCACCTTAGAAAACTAGAAAAAAGCAAATTAAATCCAAAGCAGAAAAAAAAATAGAAAAATCAATGAAATTAAAAACAGAAAATCAATAGAGAATATAAAAAAACCCAAAAGCTGATTCTTTAAAAAGATCAATAAAGTCAGTAAACCACTAGCCAGTTTACCTAAGAAAAAGAGAGAGGACCCATATTATTCTTATCAGAAATGAAACAGTGGCATCATTACAGATTCTATGAACATTAAAAGGATAATAAAGAAATACTATGAGCAGTTCAATGTTCACAAATTTGATAACCTAAATGAAATTGACCAATTCCTTTAAAGAAAGAATCTTATACAATTCACACAGAAATAGACTGTCTGAATAGGCCTATCTCTAAGTAAAGAAATTCAATCAATAGTTAATAGCCTTCCCAAACAGAAAGCACCAAGCCCAGATGGTCTCACTGGTTGAGTCTACCAAACATTTAAAGAAGAAATACCAACCCTCTACAGTATCTTTCAAAGGACAGAGCCAGAAAGAAAACTTCCTAACCTATTCTATGAAGTCAGCATTACCCTAATATCAAATCAGGCAAACACATTCTAAGAAAACTACAAACCAACATCTCTAGTGAACATAGATGCAAAATTTCCCAATACCATTTTTTTTTCAGACTATAAAAAGCACCTGCTCACACCCCCATTTGGGAGAAAAATGCAGTGGCGACCCTGCTCCTGCCTCCTGTGACCCCACTCCACTGCCGCCCCTCCCCACAGTGAGCCAGGTAAGCTACATTCAGACTATAAGACGCACCCCCTCTTCCTCCCAAATTTAAGGATGAAAGTGCATCTTACAGTCCAAAAAGTACGGTAAAATATTTGGTTTGATAGCAAATCAAATCCAAAATACTACAAAAAGAATTATACATCATGACCATGTAGGATTTAAACCAGGTATGCAAGGTTGGCTGAACATTAAAAAACCAGTTAATGTAATCACATATAGAGGCTAAAGATAAAAATCACATGATCATTATCAATAGCTGCAGAAAAAAGTATTTTTTGTCAATACCTATTCATGATAACAACTCTGCAAACTAGGAATAGAGGAGAACTTCTTCAATTTGATAAAGAACATCTACAAAAAATCTACAGCTAACACCATACTTAAGAGTGAGAAACTAGATACATTTTTTTACCCACTAAGATCAGGAATAAGGTGAGGACGTGTCTTCTCCTTATTCATATTCAACATCATACTGGAAGGCCTAGCTAATGCAATAGGTCAAGAAAATGAAATAAGGAAAACTTAGAAAGAAAAGAACTGTGATCCCTTCTACCTCAAACGTACTTTCTTCTAAGGAACCGTAGTTGTGATGTGGATAGACTTTTTACACTGGGGACGAGTTATTCCAGCATTTTTTTAAAAATATATTTTCTTGATTATGCTATTACAGTTATCCCATTTCCCTCTCCACTCCCCTCCCCCCCTTTAGTTCATGTCCATGTGTCATACTTATAAGTTCTTTAGCTTATACATTTCTCATACTATTCTTACCCTCCTACCTACCTACCATCTATGCTACTTATTCTCTGTACCTTTTACCCCCCCCCCTCTCCTCCTCCCACTCCCCTGTTGCTAACCCTCCATGTGATCTCCATTTCTGTGGTTCTGTTCCTGTTCTAGTTGTTTGCTTAGTTTCTTTTGGTTTTGCTTAAGGTGTGGTTGTTAGTAATTGTGAGTTTGCTGTCCTTTTACTATACGTGCTTTTTTTTTCATCTTCTTTTCTTAGATAAGTCCCTTTAACATTTCATAAAATAAGGGCTTGGTGATGATGAACTCCTTTAACTTGACCTTATCTGAGAAGCACTTTATCTGCCCTTTTATTCTAAACGATAGCTTTGCTGGATAGAGTAATCTTGGATGGAGGTCCTTGCCTTTCATGACTTGGAATACTTCTTTCCAGCCCCTTCTTGCCTGCAAGGTCTCTTTTGAGAAATCAGCTGACAGTCTGCTGGGAACTCCTTTGTAGGTAACTGTCTCCTTTTCTCTTGCTGCTTCTAGGATTCTCTCCTTATCTGTAATCTTGGGTAATGTAATTATGATGTGCCTTGGTGTGTTCCTCCTTGGGTCCAACTTCTTTGGGACTCTCTGAGCTTCCTAGACTTCCTGGAAGTCTATTTCCTTTGCCAGAATGGTAAGGTTCTCCTTCATTATTTGTTCAAATAAGTTTTCGATTTCTTGATCTTTCTCTTCCCCTTCTGGCACCCATATGATTTGGATGTTGGGACGTTTAAAGATGTCCTAGAGGTTCCTAAGCTTCTTGTTTTTTTGAATTCTTGTTTCTTCATTCTTTTCTGGTTGAATGTTTCTTTCTTCCTTTTGGTCCACAACATTGATTTGAGTCCCAGTTTCCTTCCTGTCACTGTTGGTTCCCTGTACATTTTCCTTTATTTCACTTATCATAGCCTTCATTTTTTTCATCTAATTTGTGACCATATTGAACCATTTTTGTGAGCATCCTGATTACCAGTGTTTTGAACTGTGCATCTGATAGGTTGGCTATCTCTTCATCACCTAGTTGTATTTTTCCTGGAGCTTTGATCTGTTCTTTCATTTAGGCCATTTTTTTGTTTTGTTTTGGCACACCTGTGCCACGAAGGGTTAAGTGCCTAAGGCAGGTTCTGCTGAAAGCACTGATACACCTGACTGACTCCGAACGTGCAGGTAAAAATGCTGGAATAGGACTTCTGGCCAAGATGGAGGCATAGGTGGACGCACCGTACCTCCTCGCACAACCAAGATTGGAACAACAACAATTTAGAGCCAGGATAACATCCAGAACCAACAGTAAATTTATCTGAATGGAAGTCAGACAGCCAAGAAGTTGAAATAGACCCGTTCATCCAGACCAGTAGGAGGGGTGGAGACAAGCAGCTGGGCGAGGGTAAAGGCTCGGAGAGCAGGGCCAAAGTGGTGGAGCACTGGATCAAGGAGGCCCAGGTATGTGATGGGACGCCCAGCAGAGCACCTCTCCCGAGCCTTAGAAAGTGCCTCTCCTGCTGGACCAGCTCTCAGGGTTGAGGTCTGAGGTCTGAGCCCCAGCACACTTACTAGGTCCTTAGTGTCAGGGGCACGCTGACCTGACTTTCAGGTCCCGGGGTGGGAGGCTCACTTCCTAGCTGGCTCCTCCCCTGGGCTGAGCTAAGATCCTCCTCTCAGTGAATGTTGGGCTTTGGGGCCTAAGGGGGCCCACCCTGAGCATCTGTCCCACCCAGGAGGGCTGTCCCTGGGGGGCACTGAAGGGAGAAATCCAGCCCCCACCTCACAGCTCATCGCTTCCCTCCGCAGGAGTGCAAGACCCTGGGCAACATGGCTTCACTGCACGCAATAGTATCGGCCTTCAGGAGCGTGCCGCTCCATCGGCTAAAAAAGACCTGGGAGAAAGTTTCCCGGTATGTAGGCCCCTCCCCATGAGAGGACGGACGGTGAGGTGCCTCCCATATGTGTCCCAATGTCCCCTCAGCAGCTGCCACCTCCTGGGAGGAGCCCACCCTGCTGACACGGACTGGGTGGTTGGGTGAGGTCTCTGAGCTTCCCTGGCACCTCAGGGTGACAGACAGAGCAAGAAACACCTGGAGAGTTTCAAGTGTTTCTAGCAACATGATTTTGTGCCCAGTTGACCCAAACCTTGTCAAAGCAGAGCTGCTCAACAGAAATGGGAATGGAAGGCCAGGTGGCCCATAGGGGGCCCTGCCCCAGTTCCCGAAAGACCTCCCTGCTCACAGGACCCAGGGAAAACCCTCACCAGGGAGTTTAAAACCTTACATTGTCAAAAGCAGTTTGCCCTTAACTGATCTCCCCCGTTCTTCCTCAACGTGTCTTTCCCTCTCCCACACCCTCAGGAGGAGCTCAGTTATGCTGAGAAAACTCTTTCAAGACGTGGATAGGATGACCACCAAGCAGCTCAGGAACATAGAGCCCGGGCTGGAGGTGTGGGAAGGGAGCAGGGTGTGAGGGGGTGGACTGTGTGGGATGAGGCTTTTCTGCTGCTTTGTCACTTCAAGATTCTCTGAAAATGGCCCTGCTATGCGTCTGATTAACAGGAAGACGGAGCTGTGTGGTCCATGGGCAGGTGGGGGCAGTGTAAGGGGCAGGAGGCCCGGGTCACAGCATGAACTGGTGGAGGCTGGGCAGCTCCAGCACAGGGGTGCCGGCCTGGCAGACTGAGTGGGTCTCTGGCTTCCGGGCTGCTGGGCCATCCAGGCTGTTGGGTGGATGGGTGGATGGGGTCCCTTCTTCCCTAAACCAGCCCAGCGTGTCCTCAGGAAGCCAAATCCCTGGGGCTCCTTCAGTCTTCACCACATCTCCAAGAGGAGGGCACCCCCACCTGCCCCGGGACGGGCACTGCAGGGATTCCAGCCCGCCAGGTGCACCAAGGGGCTGCTGGGCCTCAGTCCCGACTGCAGGACCAGAGACGGAGAGGAGTGCACTCTGTGACTCCCTGCTGTGCCCCAGAGCTCTCACTGCTAGTCAGTCAGAGTCAGGGTTCTCCCCCAGCGCCCAGGGGGGCGGCAACACAGGGCCAGATGGCATCTGAGAGGTGTCTGGGGGCACTGACGGATTCTCAGTGCATCCTTCCTGAACAGACCTCGGAAGCTTCCTGTCAAGGACCAGTCAAGGTGTCCTGTCACCCCGTACCCTGCCAGACACTGGGGGACATCAGGGTGCCGTCCTGAGTGGATGCAGAAAGACTGCTGTTTAGGGGAGGGTCCTGGGCTCCCTGGGGGGGTGGACAGAGGTATGGCCTCGGTTGCAGCCTGGTGGGCACAGAACCGGTGGGGCGGGGCAGGCAGGATGTGCTCAACCAGGATGCGGGGAACCCTGTGCATCCTGGGCTCCGCCCAGACGGGAGCGTGGGCACAACCTGAGCTCTGGTCGTTGGGGAGGCTTGGGGTGAGGTGCAGGCAGGTGGGACAAAGGCCTCGCCTCAGGAGGCTGGGAGGCACAGGAGGCCTCTCCTCTGTGGGCCCCTGAGCCAGTCACTGTCCCCTGTTGGTCCCTGTGTCCTCGGGAGTGAAATGGGGCTGACCATCCTGCACTGCAGGCCTCCCAAGGTGGTCATGAGGGTCAGGGCAGGAAAGGACTGTGCAGAGCTCTCTGTCCCGGTCCACCCAGAGGGTGGAGGGTGAGAACAACGCCAACAGGAGTACGACCCTGAGTCCTCAAGAGAGCCCCTGAGCTGGGTGGCGCTCTCACCCTTTCCAGAGGTTGAAATGGGCTCAGGGAGGCCGGGCCCCGGGCCCCAGGTCCCGCACTGAGTGAGTGTCGTGGCTGGGGGTGTTCTGGAATCAGAGCATGCTGGGGGCAGAGCAGCATCGGTACCAGCTGACTTGGGTCCAGTTGTTCAGGGTCTGGGGTGAGGAGTTTTGGGGTGACTTGGGGTGAGGGCAGTATGGCCTCAGTGACCCTGTCCTGACCTTGGCAGAAGCGGCCCTCCAGGTTTGCCACTCTGCTGATGCACCTCCGGGGAGCTCTGAAGAGGCAGCAGAAGAAAGTGAGTGAGCCCATCTGGGGGCTCCAAGGGGTCAGAGGAGAGGGGGCTCTGCCCTCCCAGCTGGAGGCCTCCAGGGCAAAGAAGGAGGCCTTTCTCCTGCAGCCCCACCTCCTGCTCCCGCAGACCCTGAAACCCTCCCCTAGCAAGTGACCAGAAGGAGGGCCTGGCGGAGACGGGTGCAGGGTGGCCCTGGGGGTGGGCCTGGGCCTGGGCTCTCAGACCCTGTGATTTGCCCAAAGTGGGTCCTGAGATTGGATTAGGAGGAGCCTGGTGTTAGAGCGTGAGGGAAGGGGGAACTGAGGGGAGGCCGGAAGGGTCCTGGGCTGCTGCCTGTGGTTACCTGGGGGGTGGGCCTGGAGGCTGACGGGGGAGCCTGTCAGGCTCGGAGGGTCTGTGGGGGCACCTGAGAGCAGGAGCTCACGCCCCCTCTCCCCGATTGCCCAGTGTGTCCCCTTCCTCGGAATATATGTCAGTGACCTGGGGATGCTGCACACTGCCATACAAGACTACCCTGAGGTTTGTGCCCTGGGGCCCTGGCTGGGTCACCAGGATTGATATTTGGGGAGGAGAGCACCCCGCCTCAGTCCTGAGCCCTGAGCTCAGAGCATAGCCACCCCCAGGAGCGGGGGCAGCATGCCCATAACAGGGATCCATCCACGTCCCCTCTCCTCTGGAGCCCAGAGCCTGTCCTGAGCCCTAGACCTGTGTTTGTGTGTGTCCAGGGCCCCCCTGGGACCTGACCTAGAGTCACCTGAGAAAGTGTGGGCGTGGGGGCGGTCATGGCTGGGGGTCTCTTTCTGATGGACCCTGGCTGTCTGCCTTCCAGGGACATGTGAAAAATTTAGCAAAGAAGAGGAAGGTGAGTAGCTGTGACACTCCCTGTGTGGCAGGGGAGGGGAGAGCGAGTCAGAGACACCCTGGCCAGCATACTGCTGGGCTCCATCCCTTGCATCTGGCATTTGCTGGGAGAATCTGAGACTAGAAGTGGGGGACTTTCAAGGTGGTGGCTGGGCGTACCAGGATGGCATCAAGGATAACTTCCAGCAGAAGGGGCTGGCAAGGCCCACCTGTGAGCACAGGCAGGGCCTGGGTGGAATTCGGGGGAGGAGGACACTATGTGTGCAAAGGCCCAGGAGCAGTCCCCTGCCCCACCCTCACCCCCTGCTCTGCCACTGTCTGCATCCTCCCCCCTCCCTCGGGCCCCCAGGAACTCAAAGTGTTGGAGGAGATCGTGCTCCTGCAGCAGGCTGCTCAGCTCTATAGCATAGAGCCCGAGGAGCGATTCGGGGCCTGGTTCTGGGCCCTGGAGCGGCTCAGCGAGAAGGAGAGGTGAGGCTGGGCAGGATGTGGGCGAGGGCGAGGGTGGACTCCCCTGCTGGCCAGTCCAGAGAACCTGTGTCTGTGGCTCCCTGCTCAGCCCCAGATCTCGTGCTGTAGCATCTCCTGGGGCACCTGACACGGGAAGGACACCTGAGGTGTGGCTCCTGGGAGCTCACAGGTGCCTCTCTGTCCTGTAGTTACACCCTGTCCTGCCAGCTGGAGCCCCGGTCCTAGATGGCCGGCACGGCACTCAAGGCCAAGAACATCAGGCGTGACTGAGTGTCCAGGTGGGCGGTGCGACCTCGTCATCACCAGCGGGGACGCAGCTGGGACTCCAGGGTCCCTGGGCAAGCTCCTTCTGCTCTAGGTGGAGAACGCCATTGGAGGCTTCTTTTGAATGTGCCCTGAAAGCCAGGAGGGAGGGAAAGCACCCCCCCACCTACCTCACAATTTCTTCCCAAGGCCTATTTGTCCATGGGAGGGGCGATGTTTATTTATTTAAGCAGGATTTGGAGTCCTCGATTGGCAAAAACCCCAGGGGCACGGACTTCTGTGTTTATAAGTCAGACCCCCTGGCTGGGAGAGCACACTGTCCCTTTGCACTGAATATGGTGCTTCTAGGCCGAAACTTGTGGACAGCAGGACCAGTAAATGGCAGGGTCCGATCCAGACGGCATAAATGATACAAAAGAAAATGGAGTCACTTATGGCAACAAGATGCCTGCCAGTCAGCCTGACACTTCAGTTCCCGTCATGCTGGACACTTCTGGCAAGGGGACACACTCTGGATGTTCAGAAGAGCCGTGTGTGCGGAGCGGGACCTCCCACAGAGAGGCTCCTGGGGAAAGTCCACAGCGGCCAGCAGGGGGTGCGGAGCACAGCAGCCACAGCACACATCCATGGCCTCCTGGGCAAGTTGCACACTAGGCGTCAGGGGGGCCAAGACCCTTGTGCAAGAGACCCAGAAGGGTGGAGCACACCACTTTCCAGCATAACTGAGGCAGGCTCCAGAGCACTGCTGAGACAGCCCAGCCCCACACACCAGAGTGCTGCTCCTCGCCACACTGAGCTCCCTTGGATCAGCCACCAGCGGCTCCGCCCTGCGGCTCCGCCCTGCTGCCCCGGGGACTGGGGCTGCCCCGCTGCCCACCTGGCTCTGGAGATCCTTCCTGGCAAGACGCTGACAACCCCCTTGCCCACCTGCTGTGTTCTGGACCTGCAGGCTCAGACTTAATTTGGTGAACATGTGAATTTTGAGGGTACGCAGATATGACAAATAAAAAAGTACACTAATATGGAACTGGAACTTGGATTTCTCTCTCTGTTAAAAGGACAAAACTTTATACTATTAGTATGCCCTGGAAATGGGAAAGTGGAGATTTCATGTGCTCTGCATCATCAGGTCTTTGCTTGATATTTGAAGAGTTAAGTCTTGCTTGGAATCATTTAACTTTCTGTA